CTGCCAGGGACCAATCGGATGCCTCCTTCTGCATAACGCTGGGCAAACCTGGACCCCATGACCACATCCCACTGAGGACCAAACGTCAAAATCTCCTCTGACGTCGTCCCCTTCTTCACCGACCAGGTGACAGACAGGTAGGTGGGGTGGATGAGCTCCCGGGTGACGTTGCAGGAGAGAGTTAGGTCACTTCTCTCAACAATGACCGGGGGCGGGATCTTAGGGGACACCTTGAGCGTGTTAGGAATGACTGACGGGAAAACAAAACAAAAAAACATTTTCACACACAAATAATGTTATAAAAAGAAAAAAAAACTAGTAGTAAAAATATTGACTTTATAAAGTAGCATGTGCCAAGATAGCCTCTACAGCAGGGTTGGGCAATCAATTTTCCCAAGGACCCTCTGAAGTCTAACATCCACAACTTTAGGGTTTCATTTTTTTAATTTTGTGTTTCAAAAAAGCCTTCCTGGAGGCGTTCCAGGCAATGGTGGAGGCATCCTGGTGGCCGGCTGAGGAATAGGTTTTCTGGCAGCTCCCGCTGTTGTCGGATGAAGCCCAGATGGCTTCATCCAGCGCGGGCGTCCTTTCTGGACCAGTCCCGGCCCCACAAAGGAGGCCCCCAGGCCTGCCACCACCTGTCTGCCCCGTGGCTGCAGAGCAGAGGCAGTTCACACCCACTAACCCCTTCACCTCTTGGTTTTCTTCAGATCATGGCCGCTACGGACACCACACCCAACATACTGGAGGCAGCCCTCCCCCGGTTCAGGAAAGACGTGTCAAGTACCGGTAAGGTGGCAACGGGGTACAAACCAGGCTCTGGTAGATTCGGGCTGTATGCAAACCTGGTCCACCAAACCCTGGTTCACACAGGGGCATTGCTGGAGGCAGAGTGACGGTGAAGTGTGTGCATGGGGACATTCACGAATATTCCTTAGATATAAGGGGAAAATGCATAGACTGAAGACTGCGGCTAGTTCACGCCTGACGCACGCCAGATTGGCCCGGGTTCAGTAGATTAATAGGGCAGTGTGTCC